GCTTATATATTCCATTCGCTACTTTTTTGCATGTTTTGCAATATAGGTGTGAATGGTGATTGCATTCGTCACAAACCCCTATTTTCTCATAAATTTATTTCACAAGACGGCTAAATATCTGATAGTAGAGTCTGGACACCGTGTCCGGGCTCGTCAAAATTGCGCAGAAAAATGAATAAATTACATGGCGCAGTAGACAGCAAATTAGTCATCGAAATCTTATTGGAAGTAGCAAATTATTTTCTGTGACGTTCATTATATTACATTTGGTAGTGATTACTTTAAAATAAAACCCGATATGGGGAATGCTTTATTAATATATGTTTAAAAATGCACGTGCAAAAAAATATATTATTTTTCTATGGTAGAGTCTGGACAAGCTTGTCCGAGCTCGTCAAAATTGAGCAGAAGCTGGATCAGCATCCGGTTAAATTTATCTCCCGAAACCTATATTTTCCTGATGGACATGCATATAAGCTCAAGTTAAATTTATCTCCCGAAATAACTGTGCATTTATGACTAGATTATTTTTTTTGATGGTAGAGTCTGGACAAGCTTGTCCGAGCTCGTCAAACTGTGCAGAAGAATAAATGAATCATGTATGTCAAGTGATAATTTATAGCGCAGTATTTCATATATTTTACGAAATTATTTATTGCACATTACACAAATAAAAATAATGGCTGTGGCTGGACAAGCTTATTCGAGCTCGTCAAACCTTATGCATTAAGATTTCAGCTATTACATATTTGGTTTCATCCGCAGTTAGATTTAAGATGAATGATGGGGGATAGATCTAATCCAAGCTATTTTTTCTTTCCCAATGCTATTAAAAAGCTTGTAAATTTTTTCAGATCTCTCTGTCCTTTTTCGCAAAGCTTCATCAGAGCATTTTGTTTCAGGAATTGCCACCCTAACCTCTTTTTTAACTATCGCTTCAGATCTATCCTTGCCAAACTTGGGTTTTAATTCCTTGTATCGTTTAAATACAGCTTCTCCAAAATTAAAATAACTGAAAATAAGACCCTGAGATGCTTCTTTGTTTTTAGTTTTAGCATGATCAATCCTTTCAGAGAGTTGTAAAAAGTTACTTACGCTTTCACTTGTTTCTTCCAAGCTCCTACTACTATCAAGAATCTTGGTTAATAATTCTTCGATAAGTTGTTTTATTATGCTTGATACCTTCTTCCTACCAGTTTTTTTTACTTTTTTGCTAGAGGATTTTTCAGTAGATACGAATAATTCCCTAGTACATTTTTTCTGAGTAGTCTCGTTAAGTAAGAGTAATAATGGTAATATAGTCATTGGAGAATCTAATCCAAAGTTATTGCTTAACATTTCAGCAAGAGCAGAAGTTCTACTAGACTGAGATGATAATTCAGAAAACCTTCATTCAGATATTACTGGATCAATGATTTTATTACAATCAGATAAAGGGTATTTGTTTTTTGTTGTAAGTAAAAATTTTTTTTCTATACATTTTCTATAATATATATGTCCATATGAAAGTATTGTAAATAATTTGAAATTAACAAATAATATTTTGTTTTCATATAGTTTACATAGTAGCAATTCTTTTTTTTTTTTTTTTTTTCTAACTTGAGCGATCTTGCCCTTCATTTATTAAAGGAAATATCATTCGATACATATA